AAGAAGAGGAATAAGAAATGAAAAAGATGGCAATTTGCAAGGAAGAAGAACTAAAGAATCACAAGGAAAAAAAAAAGAGGAAGAAAATATTAAATGAACAAACACATTGAGAAATTAAAATATTGGGAAGCTAAAAAAGAAACGTAAAAGTATAAAAAGTACAAATAAAATTTAAAACAAACAAAAATACAAAATACAGAAAGTGATTTTCTCACCATTCCGATCAACGACATATCGGTTTTGCATTATGCAAAACCGACTCCGACCATCTTATCCTCTAAACCAACTGACCAATATTGGTTTTGTTAGTTTCAATGGTTCGGATTAGTTTTTCGGATACATTTGCTCACCCAACTATCTTTTAACCTTTCTCTATATATTTTTTCTTTTGAGAAATGTTACTCTATTTTTAATTGATTGTTTCAAATGCCAAAAAATAACCAATTGGGGTTAAATTAAAATAACCATACATACATGAGAAAAGCTCATGCCCCCTCAACCTCTTCAAAAGAAAATAAATATTTTCATCTATTTTTGCATATTGATTTTATATAAAATAAACAGATGGATGATAAGTGTGTTTTTCCAAAATTTGGAGTGATTTCAAATAAATTTTGTTATTTGTTATCACATAAATATAAAATATCGTGTTTCTTTCCTAACTATAAAATTTGAATTTTTTCAGGATTTCAGATAAATTTTTTTGCAAAGGATTTCAGATAAATTTCGAGTAAATTAATTTAACTTTGTCATATTTAATTTTCAATTAAAAATCAAAATTAACGGGTAAACGGGTGTGCGGACACTCACAGATATAAAAAAAAATTAAAAAGCAGATATTAATAAAAAAAATATTTCACTTTCCTTTCCTACCAACCTCTAAACCCAAAAATATCAAAAATATCAAAAATCAAAAAATTAAAATTTAAAATTTAAAATATTTTTTAGATTTTAAATCACATGATTTAAAATTATTTAGGAACCTTATTTATTGGTGGTGGACAATATTATATAGTCACCCTGTACTTAAAATGTCACTTCATCACCCTTAATTAAAAATGTCACTTCATCATTCTGTTGGGTTAAATAACGATGAACTTAACTCATTGATCAATTAACTAGAAACCAAATTCAAACACCACTAATTAAAACAAAATTCAATCTTCACAACCCAATATTGTCATTCTTTAAACTTCAAGAATCAAATTGAAACTAAATTCACATCTCACGGACCAAAAGTGATGATTTTAAAAATAACTAATTAGAACCTAATTCCAAATTCCAAGAAAAAAAATGTTCTTTACTCATAATTACTCTTAATTTTTCTTATGCATTCTAAACACTGGCAGCTCACTTAACAATTTAATGAAAAACCTAGACCCTTCTTGCCATAACAATTCAAGCTACTGAATTAGAAAGGCGATTTTAAAAATTTAAAACATATTTTATAAACAAAGTTGTAAATAATGTTAACGTTTATTGAAATATTGAGGTATCGATTTTATGGAAATATAGACAAAAATATAGATAAAATATCGATATTAATAGATACGTCTAAAAAATAGTTAATAAAAAAAATCACAACAAACCTTTAAATTAACAAATCAACACTCTCATCATTTTTAAATATTCTTCCATCTTTTAATAATATTTATATTTAGTTTATGTAGAACGGGTATTTTCTTTTCCATATGGAGTTAGCTAATTACAATCATACTACCAGTTTAATTCCTAATTTTACTATTTTTTTAATTATTTTTTGTTACTTCAATATATTTTTATCACTCTTGTAGAATGGTGTCACGCTTCAAATTCTTCCTCCTATTTCTTACTTTAGTTTGTTCTTAAATATTTTAATTTTGGGCACTTGCAAAATAGCAAAAAATTAATAAAAAAATTTGTAAAAATAGCAACCGTTGGGAAAAAAAATACATATCACCTGCGACTATGTGCACCACAAAGCTAACAGTCCAAACACATGCTAGCAACATATCATCTGACAAAATGTTTGTAGTGACTTCTTTTGCCTCATCTTCCTTAAGCTTCCTATAGTGTCTCTTGAAATGATCCTTCTTAGGGTAGTGAAAACATTCAATATCGTCACTCCCACTCCTTTGACTATGCCTACTGCCAAAGTTGACTCCATAGAATTCTTCATACCAGAAGTAGATCCAGACTTCTTTCTACTTCTTGTGAATCTCCTAAACAATTACAGTATCATAGACTTTTGAAACTTCAGATTTCCAACCGAATGTGACACAGCCATCTTCATCGTTTCCGAGCTCTTAAAATGTCATTTCTTCACCTGCCATATCTGCATCAACATAGCCCTGCAATTTAAAATCTGACCTTTTAAAATGTAAAGCATAATCAGTTGTTCCTCTCAAATATCTGAAGATCCACTTCACAGCCTCCCAGTGCTGCTTCCCTGGATTATTCATATACCTGCTAACAACTCCCACGACATGTGCAATATCTGGTCTTGTGCAAACCATGACATACATCAAGCTACCTATAGCTGAAGTGTATAGAATTCTAGCCATATAATCTCTTTCTTGCTTAGTGGGTGAATGCTCCTTAGATAATTTAAAATGACAAGTTAAAGGAGTACTAGTACTCCCAGGTTTTTCATCTCCCATGTAAAATCTGTTTATCACCTTTTTTACATATTCTTCCTGTGACAATGTTAACGTACCATCTTTTCTCTCGATCCTCATCCCTAGGATTTGTTTGACAGCTCCCAAATCTTTCATATCAAATTCTCCAGATAATTCAACCTTTATCTTTAGAATTTCTTGTTTGTTTGGTCCTGTTATTAACACATCATCAACATATAGCAATAAAATAATAGAAGAGTTACCGTGAGTTCTTATGTAGCAACAATGATCTGCCTGATACCTCTGAAATCCATTATTGCACATAAAACTGTCAAACTTCTTGTACCACCGTCTGGGAGCCTGTTTGAGACCATACAGGCTTCTCTGAAGTTTACAAACCATTTTCTCCTGTCCCTGTACTGTAAATCCCTGTGGCTGCTTCATGTAAATTTCTTCCTCCAAATTACCGTGAAGAAAAGCTGTTTTTACATCCATTTGTTCCAGAAACAAATCTTCTTCTGCCACTATCGATAATACAGTTCTAATAGTAGTTAGTTTAACTACTGGAGAAAAAATTTCATGAAAGTCAATACATTCCTTTTGTTAAAAGCCTTTGACTACAAGCCTTGCTTTATATCTTTTGCTGCCATCGGGCTCCTATTTGATTCTATACACTCATTTGTTCTGCAAAACTTTCTTACCTCTTGGTAACTCAGTAAGTTGCCATGTCTGGTTTGTCAGAAGAGAATTCATTTCATCCTTCAAGGCTAACTCCCACCTGACAGAATCTTCTAACTGAACTGCTTCTTCATAACATTCAGGTTCACCTCTGTTAGTCAATAATATATAATTCAAAGTAGGGGAATACCTTTGTGGTGGTCTGATAGTTYTGCTAGATCTCCTAAYTRCTGTAGGTGGTGTTCTCTGAACTTCTTCAGTTTCAACAACTGGTCCATCAGGTTCAATAACCTGTTCCTCAGATTCCACAACTGGTTCCTCAGGAGTAGTTGTACTATGATCTTCAATTCCTATTGTATTGGTCTTAACTCTAGGAAGACTTATGTACCTAGTCTTCTCTTCTGTACTTTCATCTGACTCTGACTTTTCAGATTTATCATTTGCTCTGTCCTTGTACAGAACATCTTCATTGAAGATCACGTTATTGCTTCTGATAATTTTCCTATTTTGGTCGTCCCAAAACCTATAGCCCATCTCAGCTCCACTATAACCAAGAAGATAACACTTCTTGGATTTAGCATTCAGTTGACTCCTGTCTACATAATCAATGTGAAGGTAAGATACACAGCCAAAAACCTTTAAATGAGAAAGATTTACCTGTTTACCGCTCCAGACTTCTTCAAGCAATTTGAAGTCTAGTGATGTGGTCGGGCTCCTATTGATCAGATAGGTTGCAATGTTGATTGCCTCTGCCCAGAACATCTTAKGCAATCCCGCATGTAATCTCATGCTCTTGGCACGCTCATTCAGCGTCCTGTTCATTCTCTCTGCCACACCGTTCTACTGTGGTGTCTCTGGAATAGTCTTTACCATCACAATTCCACTGTCTGCACAATACTTTTTAAATTCCCCATCAACATACTCACCACCATTGTCTGACCTCAAGCTTTTAATTTTCAGACCTGTCTCATTTTCAACCATAACTTTCCAAGTTTTGAAAACAGAAAATACATCAGACTTATGTTTGATAAAATAAGTCTATACCTTCCTGCTTGAGTCATTTATAAAGGTCACATAGTATCTGGAACCTCCAAGAGAAAAAACTTCAGAAGGCCCCATACATCAGTGTGAACCAGCTCCAATTTCGTAGGTTTGGCGCTGCACCTGTTTTTGAGAAACTGACACGCTTCTGCTTCCCAAATACACAACCTTCACACAGCTTGTGGTCAACTGCCTTAAGTCCCTGTAACTTCCCTGCAGAGTGAAGAATTTTCATACCTTTTTCACTCATATGTCCCAGTACGTTATGCCATAATTGAGTATAGCTCGAATGATCTACAACAGCCACCATGTCTTTATCATTGTTGTTGACATACAAAGTTCCTGACTTGCTTCCTCGAGCAATCACCATGGCACCCTTTGTAACTTTCCAGTTTCCTTGACCAAAGGATATTTCACATCCTTCATTATCCAACTGCCCCACAGAAATCAAGTTTTTCATCATATTCTAAACATGATGTACCTTGCGAATTTTCCAAACTGAACCATTCGCCATTTTTAAATTCACTTCACCGATACCAATGATATCCAAAGGCTCTCCATCGGCAAGATATACTTTTCCATGATTTCCTGCAATATAATTTTCAAGAATGTCACATTGTCCTATAGTATGAAAAGACGCACCTGAATCCATCACCCATGTGTCATGAGCGCTCTCAACTGCAATAACCAAAGCATCATGTATCTGCTCAGCAACATTAGCATCGGCTTCGTTCCCTTCATTTTTCTTCGGGGCCTTGCAATTGCTCTTCAAGTGTCCAATCTTACCACAATTCCAACACTCAAACCTGCTGTTTCTCGACCTGCTTCTGTTGTTTTTCGACTTGCCTCGATTCCCATAACCTCTGTTATTATTTCTTCCTCTGTCCACATTCAATACTGAACCAGAAGTAGGAGCGATACCAGAGTCCTTCCTGCGAATTTCTTCTGCAAGAGCTGCATCTCTAACATCTTCAAATTTCAATTTCTCTTTCTCACAAGAATTTGAAATAGCAGCTCGCATGGGTTCCCAACTATCAGGCAAAGATCTTAATAACAAAATAGCATAAACTTCATGACTGAATTCTAAATCAACAGCTACCAATTTGTTAATCAACACATCAAACTCATTTAAATGGGCAGTAATAGGTGTACTTTCAGCCATTTTCAAATTAAAAAATTTAGTTGCAAGATACACCTTATTATTTACCGAGGCTTTTTCATACATGTTGGCTAGGGCATTCATCAACCCCATTGTGGTCGTTTTCGCCACGCTGCTCTGAACATTTTTAGTTAATGTCAAGCGAATCGTACCCAACACTTTCCTGTCCAACTTCTTCCATTCTTTTTCTCCCATATCATCCGGCTTTCCTTCTAATGGAAATTCCAACTCTTTCGAGTGCAAATAATCTAATACCTGATTTTTCCAAAACGAAAAATCCACCCATTAAAAGTGACCAATTTGTCGTCCCCTGCCATTGTTCTTCAACCTCGCTCTGATACCAGTTGTTAGGAATAAAACAAGCTAACAAATATTATCTCAATCACAATTCCAGACAATATATGCTAACAAATCCCAGATCAGGTTCTGGTTCCAATTATAACAGAAATAAATCAAATCGGAACTATGCTCAAAGAGTAGATAAACCAACCTAAACCACAAGCAACAAGAACAATAAAATATAGGGAAGAGAAATCGACACCGGATTTATACTGGTTCACCCAATGTGAGCTACGTCCAGTTCTCTGCTACCGTTGTAGGTTCCACTAAATATCAGGAGAATCTTCAAGAGTTTACAAACGCTCTACAATGATTTCTCTCACTTTTCTCTCAAAGAAAAATGATCACGATCACTCTTACAAGCTTCTAAAACTCTTCAATGGAAACAAAACTTACAGAACTCACGTTTTTTCTTCTCTGTGAAGCCTCACAAAGAACCTCTCGCCAAAGAACTCTCTCTGTAAATTTTTCTCACACTTAATTCTCTCTCTAGGGGTTGTTGAATTAGTGGGCGGCAAGATAATAATTTTTACATAAAAATATTTTCACACTTAATGAGGAAGCAATTTGGTGATGTTTTGGGCTATGGCATGACTAGGCCCAATGAACCATTATTTCTTCAATTTGTTTTGGCTCCATTCTTAACATAGCTCAATTTTGCCTTTCATCTAATTGTGTTTCTGCCTGATCTATCTTAGTCCAAGGGAGCTGTTGGTATTTCGCTTTGTCTATACTCCCCAATCTGTTCATGTATCATCGGTAGGCATGCTCTCTGATCTCTTTATGCATTTTGATTTATAACCCGACGACCCAACCTGAAAATATAAGGGTTGGGTTGGGTTAGGTGATTGAATCGGGTTCATCGGGTTGGATAATCAACCAACCCGAAATTTCGGGTTGGTCCGAAAAAATACAATTAACCTGACCCAACCCAATCTGTGTACACCCCTAGTTTAAACCAATTTCATTTTGATTTACCTCTTTTCATTTTCTTCTTCTTCGTAAATCCTATAGCTCTTTTACTTACCCTGATGTATTTCATACATTAACTACATTAACTGATATACCTTGATGTATTCCATATTAGGTACATCAGTACTGATACACTTTGGTATAATTCATATTAAATATATCAACTATATCACTAATATACTTGATTCAAAATATTTCACTTACCTTGATATATTTGATATGCTTTATGTAAAGTATATGAAAATTACGGTATATAATTGATATATCGTATTTTAAGTATATCAACGACTTTATCTTATGTATATTAGTTATCATTGACCTACATACCTTGATATATTATATACTAAATACATTTATTATAACTGATATACCTTAATGTACTAAGTACAATAGGTATATCATAATATATTCAAATTATATTACAATGTAGTTCTAGTTTTTCGAGTCTTTTAATGCATAATACTAACATATAAATTATTTATAAACAAATATTCATAGGTCCCCCTCTTTGAGCACGATATACAATTATTTTACAGCCACCAAAGGGTTTTTCTAATAGATATGTGGAAGTAAAATTAGAACTTAGGCCTAATTTACTCATGGTTATAATAGTTAGATAATTAAGTTAGAGTATTTGTTTGATCCTTAGGAAAAAATAGTTGATAATATTTTATAGATATTAGTAAATCACACCTCAAGTAACTTTTTCTCGCTTTTATTATTACTTATTTTAATTTTTGTAGTTTTAAAATTTATACCAATTTAAATGATTTTTCTAAATAATACTAGGAGCTAATCATGGATTAGAATACATAATTAGATTACTAGACGACACGAATTATTGTTTTTTTTCAATATCTGTGAGTGTCCAGTTTTGTTGAGAAAACTAACCGGCAGAATATTAAATCTTAATGGCCAACACAGATGATTGTCTCATCATCTAATATTAAAAGAAACCATATTTTTTGTGCACCACAATATTGGGATGATTGTCGTTGCTTTTTTTCTTGTTATCTAAGCAATAGAATTCCATATCCGATTCAGGCATCCACATGTCCTCTCTATATTTATTATATACGTCGCCTTTGTAAAAGTCTCGAGTCCTAAAAGCCAGCACAAGCGAAGTCAAAGCCCCAAACAATGTTACTGTTGCCAAAATTGTGAAAGAGGTGCTGAAGCACTCATGGCCCGTGCAAGTTAAACCCTTGCCGTTCTTCGTAGTACCCTGTTTTCTTGCTTCCATGTCGTACAACTTCCCTATTATATCCACGTTTAGTATATAAGATCCGATCGGGACCGAGAGTTGTCCAAAGTTGAAGAGGGTTGCGTAGCGTTTGAGACCGAAGAGCTCAGAGATAATGGCGAATACCATCGGAACTTGGGCTCCAAACCCGAACCCAACGACGACCGAAGCGATGTAGATCGAACCATGAAATGGAAAGGCGACGAAGAGGAGGCCAATGCAGGTGAGGAGATGGGCGAGGGCGAACATGAGAGGACGGGGTAATTTGTGTTTGGTCATAAGCGTTTCGGAGATGAAGCCTGAGCAGACCCGGCCGAAGAAATTGAATATGGAAATCAAGGAAATGAAGATGGTTATGGACTGAGCGGGATAGTAAAGTGACTCTCCGATTTGGCCTAGATTGTCAATGGCGGCAATGGACGAGCCGCATCCGCAGAGCGCCCCGACGAAAATAAGAGCCATGTCTTTGCTGAAGAGAGCTTGCAAGATGGTGTAATCATCCCCTCTTTGGGGCTTGTTAAACACACTTGACATACATGAGGGTTCAGCTTCTACAATTTCGTCCAACATCGGTGCAGGTCTCTGCTGATCAAGAATCGAAACCGTGACCGACGGGTTTGTGGTTTCCTTGTTGAGCTTGAACAGCAAGAATTCTTCCCTAACAGCGATCAAAAGAGGGATAGATAGCAAGGAGGCAATAACCGCAGCCCCACTCATGTAGCCCTCTTGAGAGAAAACAGCTTGCTTTTGGGTTATGGTCAAGAACAAGAGAAACAAAGCCAGAATTATGGACACATAGAGCAAGTGGTACATCACCCTGAGCTCGTCCGGATGTTTCCGAACTTTGATTGGTCGAATTGTGAGCAAAAACACAAGAGATATAATGGTGGGAAACCACGAAAGAAGAAGCACCAAATTGACTTGATTTTCATGGCCATAAATGGCCAAATACATCTGTGTTAAGATGGCCCCTCCAACTCCAACGAAGCCCTTGAGCAGCCCCAGAATAATCCCTCTTCGCTCGGGGAAATTCTTCACGCTCGTGACCAAAACCGCTGTGTTGGCGAAATTCTGGGAATTGGCAGCCAAGCAAATGTAAGTGCACATGTGCCAAAACTCAGGCTTGGCGATCCGGTGAGTGAGGGAGAGCCAAATCATGAAGTAGCTGACGAAGTTGAGCGACGAGCCGACGACGAAGAGAACCCATGGCGGTGCCACCTCGGCGAGGAGGCCGGCGAAAACGCCAAGGTTGGAGCCCAAATCTTTGAAGAATCCCAAGGTGTTAACTTGGGTTTGGCTGTAATCGAATTGAGCCTTCATGACTTTGGAGTATGTTCCGAAAACGTACGTCGAGCCCGCACCGATCATGATCAGAAACGACGCGAACACCGAAAACCATCGTCCTTCTACAACTTGTCTCACGAAATACAAACTTTGTTCTGCACGGTTGCCGGCCATGGCTTGGAAATGGTCCAAGGTTTTTGGTTTCGGAAGAGGGGTGCAGTGGCTGAGGAATGGAAATGAGAATGGTCTCCAATTTGGTGCCTTATTAAAAGGGTTTCGGTTCTACAGTTTGCGACATCGGTAAAATTTAGTGATGGAGAAAAATGGTTGTTTTGAAGCTCAAACAAAGTGAAAAAAACTTCCCAATCTGTCAACAATAGCTTTTAGTTTGTTAATCCCGAACCCGATAAGGATAAATTATCAGGCAGGCTCTCATCACGTGAAATATGTATTTCATAATAAATTTAATTTCAGTTTTTTTTCTTCCTGTTTTTATTATGAAAGCTATTAAAAAATAAAGGATTTTGAAAACTATTGACACAGCTTATGCTGTTTTTTTCTTTTGTTATTTAATTTTATGTATAAAAAAAGTTTTTTAGATTTTAAAGATACTTTTGGAATCTTATAAAATTTCAAAAACATAAATTTAAAACTAATAAATCCTAACTTTTAATTGTTAGTTGCGTGTAATGTGCTAAGGAGAAGAATAAACTACTTTGCCATATTTACAATCAAGAGTATTTCTAATAGGTGGCGTCAGAAATTTGGCCTTTGCTATTTTGTCAAATTCGCACCAATCTTCTAAAATAAAATAGATSAACAAAACCTACAAAATAGAAGAGCAATAAAGATCGGTGTGACTCTTGCTACACATGCTCCGATATTTAAGTCAGAATCGGAGTAGTCGGGAGAGTAGGGTATTTTCGTGTACCTTTAGAGTTTGGTTTAACCTCCTGATTATAAAAGTCAAATTCTAATCCCTTTAGTAATTATAGAAGTCGAATCCTAGTGTACCCAAGAGATCATGACTTCTGAACCCGTGCATTTCATCGTGGGCCTAATGTCGGATTGAGGGTTGAGACAAGGTAGAATTGGATCAGGCTCCACAAAGGTTGAGGAGAACCACCGACGTTCCCGACCGGTGGTCGAGAACATCTCGACGCCGACCCCGGGCCGGCGTCGCTGGTTCCAGCCTCCTTACCTAGTTTCGTGAGCTCGCTCCTCTCTCGATCAAACTTTCGTCCTCCGTTGTTTAGTCTGATCTCATTTTACGTCCCCATCACAGGTGGCATGGCAAATAAAGTAATGAATATTTAGAAAATTGTTAGGAGGAGACAAATGTCAGCAAATATGAAACTTTTATTTGTTGATTTGTAAGATTCATTGTGTTTCCATTTTTTACTCTTAGATTTATTTTTTACTTTTTGTATTTTCTTCTCCTCCTTGTTTCCTCATCTTGGTTCCTCATCTTGGAGGATGATGGAACAATGGGATTAGTAATTTTGTGTATGGGAGAGAAATACATATAAAATGTATTTCAAACCCATATATCTGTGGTTACAAATTTTAAATTTGTATTCAACGATATTAGATAGGACTATTACTACATTGTCGTAGCCTTCGTTCGATAATTCTTCTCTTACGTGTTTTAGTGAATCACTTATTCATTATGAGTAGCAAGAAAAAGAGTTATTCAATTACATGTATACTCTTGAGAGTACAACTAGATAGAAAATAATTGTTCCGATCCATTGTTCTCCAAAAGTGCACACATATATACGTGGAGTGTAAAAAGTAACAAAAACAAACTTAACAAAACAGTAACTGAGCCATTTAAATTAACACAACAGGTTAATTTCAGAACTGAACAATAACTTCTCCCCCAATCAAGATAGAAGGTGTATATCTATAACGACAACAAAGAAATAGAACAGAAGCAGGTAGAAACTTTATAGTGCCATCAACAAGCATCTCGTGAATAAAATGGAAAATCAAGTTAATATGGCGGTTAGGAATCACCGAGCAAAATAAGTAATATCCTTTTATTATTGCTTATATTTTAATTAGTTAATTAATTTTTTTAACATTTTAATTAATTAATTCAATTAAAACGTTTTTATGTTATTTATTTTTAAAACTAGATCTGTTGATCAGCATGTTCTTTGATTCCCGTCTGCTTTGGTGAGGGAGAGCAAATGGCGAGTACACCACCAATTGATTGGTCACCTAACAATAAAGACAAGGACTTGGGTCATGTACATTAAAAAACGAACATCTTACCACTTTGCCAACATCTTAAGATGTAAACATCATATTCTTTTATACAAACAAAAGTTTTGATTTATTTTTTTAAACTAAAAAAAACTACAAATTTTGTTAAATTAAAACAAAAAAATATCTTTTTTATTTATTTCAAAATTAACAAAATTATTTAAAAGAAAAAAAAAATTATTTAAAAACAAAGTCAAATTTACTTTAACAAAACTTATTAAAAAAAAACTAATTTTTTTTTGTTAAGATTTTTTCAAAACCATAACTACGAAACCATTAAAAGAAATTTAAATGAGTATTTTATTCTAAAATACTCTGTTTTTATCTCCCCTTTTTAAAATCATGCAGCAGAAGATTCTTTTTTAATAAAAAAATAAAACAAAGGTAACACAAAAAATATAAACCTTGTAAAAAAAATCATTTTAAATAAAAACTAAATTTTAAATAAAAATAATCCAAATGTAAAAGAATCTAAATTTTTTTAAACAAGATTTATTTTATAAAACTCCTATTTTTTTCAACTTATTTTAACCAAAATTTTAAAGTAAAATATTTTATTGAAATAAAATTAAGTTTATATTTATTTCGTTTAAAAAACTCTTCTTTATTAGAAAAAGAAAACCTTTTATTTTAAAACAAATTTTAAAATATCAAAATCCTTATTTTATTTTCAAAAACTTATTTAAAATTAATTTAGAAGATTTTTTTTCCTTACTAAAAACGTTTTCCTTTTTAAAAAAAAGTAAAAAAAAAACTTTTTCTTAAAAAAAAACATTTTTTTCTTAAAAAAAACAAAAAAAAATCTTTTGATTCTTTCCCTTTCCAACGTATTTGATACTTAGTTAAAATGCACGGAGATCGTCGGAGTGCCAGCGGGCTTGGAAGAAACTATGAAGAAGAAGGTTGTTGCTGCTGTCGTTCGCGTCATTCCCTTGCGTCGTCGGAGGTCGTGGGTATGCAAGAGAAAAGTGGTGATGGTGGGATAAGAGAGATGGAGAGAATAAAATATGGTGATGAGGTGATGGGGTTCTAACTCTCTGCACTGTATGCTTTTTTGTCTCTCCCCTCTGTGTGTTGTGTGCCCCTTTAAATATACCAAAAAAAAAATAACAGTAACATGTGTGAGTCGAGTAAAACCAGAGAAAAAGAGGGAAGGGAAAGCCTTCGGTTTTGACGAAGGAAAAACGGGAGGAGAAACCAAATGTTTATTTTTAACCAAAACAAAATCTAAATTTTTTTAATTAAAAAAACCTTTATTTAAAACAAAATTATATAAATAAAATAAAATCTTTTTATTTCTTTTATTTTAATTTTAAATCAAATTCTTTAAAACAAAATCTATTTTTTTAATTTAATTTAAACTTTAGCTTATAACCAATAATAAAGTAATCCTATAGAATTTAATAAAATAAAAATTAAATAATTAAAAATAAAACTAAAATGAAGCCGGACCAAATACGGTGTCTACAGTATTTATAGGTTCATAGGATGTTTATGGATCTAGATTCTTCCATGGAGTCCTATAAATAGGATGTTCATTTGTTGTATGTCAAGCAAGTGTGTAGACAAGAAAAACAAGAGAGTTTGAGAGAGTTTGTGAACTGAATGTGTATTTTGTGAGAAATTTTTCAATACAAGAAAAGTTGTTTATTCTCAAACGATTCTTGTCGATCCTAAATTAACAAGTGTCCATCACACGCTTCCAACAAAGTGGTATCAGAGCTTGAGTTTGAAAACAGTTGTTTTTGCAAATGGCAAACAACAATTTGGTTTATTTCCAAGTGTCTCGTCTTACTAAAGAAAATTATAGTAGTTGTTGTATTCGTATGAAGAGATGCATGAGAGATTGTTGATAGACGCTATGAAGAACCAACAGAGGATGTGGTTTTGAATCAAGCTCAACGAGAGACTTTGCAAAATACCAGAAAGAAAGACCAAAAGGCTCTCACCATTATTCATCAAGCCATTGACGATACAAATTTTGAGAAGATTTCTGGAGCAACCACCGCAATGCAAGCATGGTAATTTTGGAGAATACTTATAAAGGAGTTAATAGGGTCAAGAAGGTCCGACTTAAAAAATTGAGAGGTGATTATGAAGCATTACATATGAAGGAGTCTGAATCAATTTCATATTACACTTCAAGGTTGCTAGCCGTGGTAAATGAAATGAAGAGGTATGGTGAGACCATAAATGATGAGCAAGTATTTGAAAAGATACTTCGCTCATTGGATGAAAAATTTAATTTCATCGTGGTAGTAATTGAAGAATCAAAGGATTTGAGTACAGTGTCCGTCGATCAACTTATGGGTACTTTGCAAGCCCATGAAGAGAAGCTTTTCAAGAAGAGCAAACAGACAACCGAACAACTATTTCAATCAAAGTTGCAGTTGAAAGATAAATAAGATAGCCAAAAAAGAAGTTATCGAGGTCATGGTCGTGGTAGAAGTCGTGGACGTGGTGACTTCAGAAGTCGTGGACGTGGTGACTTTGGTCAAAGAAAGTTTGATGGGAGTAATTTCAACTCCAGTTCGTCAAGAGGTCATGGCAGACAAAATTATTCGAGGTTGTATGGAGGAAAGTCAAATGATGACAGGAGGTATGACAAAAGCCAAGTTGAATGTTATAATTGTCATAAATTTGGTCATTATTCATGGGAGTGCAGAAATAAAGTAGAAGAAAATGTCAATTACGCTGAAGAAGATGTTAAAAGCAGTGAGCTATCATTGCTTTTAACATGCAGAGATGAAGAAACATGTGAGAACAGTTCGTGGTATCTTGATAGTGGTGCAAGCAACCACATGTGTGGAAGTAAATCCATGTTCGTGGAATTGGATGAATCTGTTGGTGGTAATATCATATTTGGTGATGCTACAAAAATTCCTGTAAAGGGAAAAAGGTAA